CAGCATGTGAGGCAGCAGGACTCTTGCTCTGTTGCAGAAGGTCTCATGACTCGATCCGAGTAAATCCTTCCTGGAGTCTCATGACCCATGGAGCTTCTACACTGAACGTGTCGGGCCCCCACCTTCTGGAACTCATCCACCACAGGCCTGGTCATTTTCAAATCCAAACCAAGAACTCACCTGCCTCCTTCTGTACCTGCTGTCTGTATGCTTTGTCTCGTCTGCTTTTGTATTAGTTGCTTTTATTGTTCTTTTATTCTGTAAAGCATCTTTGAGTTTTTGAAAAAAAAAAAAAAAAGTATTATTATTATTATTATCATTTTCATGCTCCAGGTTTCACAAATCTGTTCAGACATCCCCCACATTGGAAGCCCAACCTGCAGCCGTCCATCCAGCTGAACTCTTCTTTGGGACTCTTGAACTGATTCTTGTCTTCAGTTCATCACAGATCCTGAACAGTCGCTGCAGATCAGAGTCACTGAGGTGGCTCAGCAGAAACTCTGCTCCAAACCAGACTCCAGAACATCCAGAATGTTTTCTCCACATGGCTGATCCCACGTCACCAAATATTAAGTTCAGTAAAATGTGTAAAATCTTGGCTCGTAGGAAACGTTCATTTCTGAGTTAAATATTCTACGAAGGTGGCTCGTCTCAATTTGTGCATCATTTTTTTCCACTAATGTGTGGATCAATGTTTGAAACTATAACTGGAGAAATCCTGTCGTTAGAGGGATTCCTGTCTCTGCACGATCAGATACCAGTAACCAGGATGAACTCATCCTGTTTGAGCAGAGAGTCTATTGTGGGTGATGCTGCTGTCACAGGGGTGGTGGAGCACACGTAGGTCACTCAGATCACCCCGAGGTCACTATATATGGTGTAACTCACACATTTATTCACTATACGGGTCATACAATCATCTGCTCGCAGCCAAACAACATACAGGTTCGTGTGTAATCATGCCAGGATGTCAAAGAGGAAATCAGAACTTTGTCTCATGTCAGATTACTCAGTTTGTTATTTTCCAACATGAGGCAGGAGGAGACTGAGACCCGGTCCCAGCCTCGTACCACAGACCCGCCGGATTCCTCCAGCCTCCCCGGGGTCAGCTGATCCTCCGGTCCGCCGCAACGCATGTCGGGGGGATTAATGTTAGGACAATTAAATGACTTACTCACCAAGAAGCCCCCGTCCTGCACCGTGCAGCTTGTAGCCTGTTCCCAACCATGCTGTTGGTCAGAATGAATGAACCCTGGGCTGATCCAGGCCGCCTCACAACAACGCTACTTCAATGTATTTGTGCATCACAGATGATCTGGACACTGATTTAATAAAAATACTTCCTGTTTACATAAACACATCCATCTAGTGATGGTGCCTCTTCAGCAGGGGTGTCCAATCCTGGTCCTCGAGGGCCACACTCCTGCATGTTCTAGATGTGTCCTTCTTCCAACACACCTGATTCAAATGATCAGGATGGTTATCAGACTTCTGCAGAGCTTGATGATGAGCTGATCATGTGAATCAGGTGTGTTGGAAGAAGGAAACATCTAAAACATGCAGGATTGCGGCCCTCGAGGACCGCAGTTCGACACCCCTGCTCTAGAGCAATGTGTGTGCAGTCGGTAGCTCCGACTACACCAACAGAACCGGCCGTCGCTACAAATTGCACGTTCATGTCGTCCTGTTCAGCTGCACTGTGGGAGCTTGATGTATCTGGCTGACATTCGGATGGTTCC